TAGTGACATTTTCAAAACTTGTCGCTAAAAGTTTTGTTTTTGACTTTTTGAGATGACCTTCTAGCGACTATCCTTATAACGATAGAAATTATCACTAAATGTCTTTCGTAACAAAATTTTCATTTTTAGAGGTCAAAATATTTAATCTCTAAAACTCGTATACGTTGTATTCTCTATAGACTTGAAATGTAGATGTTAATTTTAGTGAGAGGTCTCTTTATCTTATAAACTCGCAAAACCCTTCACCATGCATATGAGGGCTATTATTACATTGTGCAATTTTGTCAAGTGCAAGTTTAAACTCATGACCCTTTGAACAAACCTAGGTCATGTGTTGACACGTGTCAAGAAAACAAAAAACTTAGACATCTTATACAATAGCAATTAATCACTCTCTATTTAAAATTTGGAAATATACATTCAAAAATAGACATTTAAACTAAGTTTCAGAACAGAGACAATACATAATAGGATGAAAATTCAGACTATGTAATCAATGCGTTTTTTTGACAAAATATCATAATGAATCTATTAAACCAAGTAAGTAGAATAGTATAATTGCTTTTAAGGTTAATACTACTATTCTAAAAATTGTGAATGTGGTGCAACGTGGCAAGATTCTTCAACATGATGTCATGGCTTGTGTAATTATCGAAGCTAAGCTTTGAGAATAGCACACACCAACTCCTAAGTTGAATACATGTCTCATCCTTTTTTTATTTATTATTTATTTATATTTTTTTGATTCATAATTTATTATTATTTATTTTTAAATACATATCTATATATATATATATTAGAGGCCATTAAATGAAATTTATTTGTTTGGAGTAAAATTTAATAGTCTTAAACACCTATCAAATCCTTGGAAAATTTGTTGATAGCAGCAACTAAACAAATTGCAATAACATACCAAACTTGAGATTGTAACCAACCCAACAATGAAAGTTCACAGCAAGAGACGAAAATGTTACAAATGGAAGCTAGAGATGGAGGACACACAAAATGCACATATGTGAGAAAATTTAGTGCACATATGTTAGAGAGACTTGGATCTCTTTAACTTCAAGAGTGAAAAATCTAGAAATTCCCTAGATGTTGATTCGTGATTATGTATCAATTTTAAGCAGAATATAACAATCCCAATCAAATAATCATGACAAAGAGACACAACGATTTTACGTGGAAAAAATCACAATTGGACACCTCCAACTGTGATAAAAAACCACGGGCAACAGCCACAAAACAATCTACTAAGAAGATTTAAAGGAATTACACAGGTATACTCTCAATTACCTAACGAATCCACGCCTAATTGAACTAACCTCTATATGCCTCTTCCAATCCGTCTTCACCTAGGAATTGTCTTTACGATGAGCCACCCCGGAATCCACCAAAGCTTCAGGCTCGAATTCTTCAGACTCCACCAAAAAACAACTCTCTCTTTTGTAGAACAAACAAACCCTTTGATGTATACTCTTTAAAACATAAGTTGAATACTCAATCAAAATATCAAAGAAAACTCACAAAGTATCCCCAGATATAAACCCTAGAACCCAAAAAGAAGATCTGGAGTCGTAATCCTAAAACCTGACCCAACATGCGAATTTATAGAATTTCTCCCGCGATCTCCGCTAGAGCGCCCAACAGTCCGCTCGAGCGGCTTCAGCAAAATATGCGCGTGATATAACAGAGGTCCGCTCGAGCGCTAGAGAACCCGCTCGGGCGCAAAATTATACATCTCAGTACTTTTACAGGCGACCAAAACTGCTGGAACCAGGAATTCTCCGCTCGAGCGGGGTAATGTCCGCTCGAGCGGACAGGCAACTTGGAATGCATTTTTGCATTTTGCTTTGGGGGGCGCTGCCCATCGACCCTGCCGTGGCGCTGCCTCGGTCCCGCCAAGGGGCGCTGCCCCCTCGACCCTCGCGAGCTGACCGGGCAGCTCGATCCCCGTCATAACCAGCGAAGTGGCAATCTTGAAAGCATTAGCATCACAAACTTCTCTAAAAGGCACAATTCAGGTTGGATTCACATCTAAACACTCATAGCCTCACTGAAATAAATGTGCGAAAATAAATACAACTGAAAGAAGTTTTGTCAAACGGGGTTGCTAAGAATAAAACCTAACAAAGAGTAAAAATATATTCTTGTATTTTGAGTACAATTAAGTGTTTTTGTTTTAGTAAGAACTCTAGTAATGAATTAAAGGGAGGTACCAGATTCTTTATCCCAATTCCCTTCATCTTATTGTTCTAAAATATTCACGGCTGTTAAATTATGTCTTAATATTTCTATATTTCAGGATTTTCGTATGACCAAGTGACTTTCAAATATGCATCTCTCTGTTGCAAAAGGGATGATTTAGCCAAAGTTGTTATTAAAGGTGATTATCCTACACAATATTTATCCTTAAAAAGAAAACATTAGCTCTAATAAGGTGGACATCATTAAAAATTTTCTTGTATTAATTAGTTTCTACTACTATGATGAATAGCCAGTTTTACTTATGAAAAGTAACACACAATCTTATTTCTTACTTCAATTTTTTTCCCCCAGTTCTAGGCACAACTAAATTGGTTTCATGTGCAATTATTAATATGGGTTTCGTTGCCTTATGCCGGAGAGTAAAGAATGGAGTAAAAAAAAAGATTATTTAAAACATTAAACTTATTCTTAATTAGAAGTGTAATAGGATGGCATATTGTGTAGCTAAGTGCTTGATCATTAATTATCATCTTAACACATAGAGATCATGGTTATTAGAATTTTGATTCAAATCGTAGAATCATATGACGCTGGGACCTTAACTGGCTCAAATGATTTAGATCGCACTAGCATATTAAATTTTGTAAGATTTTAAAGTGGTTACGATCTTAATCTTGAAATCATGTATTAATTTGACTACAATCCCAATCCTATCAAGTTTTTGCTTATTATTTATTATATATATATGTATGTATATGTGTAAATCTATATATAGAATTTGACTATAAGCTCCTTCTCCAAACATTTACTCTAATTTATGTTAATATGGAAATGTATTATCCCAAAATAATTATTTGCCTTTAATGGTTTTAAAATTATGCAACGTACTTTATTAGTTTTGATAATTTTTTATTTTATCTTGCATTGAAAGTACTCACATTTTTTAATTTGATTCTACGATCATATCTATGAGCTTCACAATGATTTCAACTAAAATGCTGATTTTAACAACTTTAATAGAAATACAATTTTTATCCATGGCTACTGGGAGAAGTTTGAAGTTTCCCATGGAGTAGGGGTATTGTAGACCGTTGAATAGGCATTAAAAATAAAAATAAAAATAAAAAATAAAAAAAATAATCCGCGGTGCAAGACGAAATGGGATGCAATTGGCAAGAATTGAAATCCCGTTATCAGTGTGGACATAAACGATAACCTGATCATCAATGCATAATATGTTACAACGTTGTATTTTTAAGTTATTTTTAGGATAAATTACAAATACACAATTTAATATTTGTTTAAAATATAAATTGTTTCTTGTGGTTTGAAAAATTATAAATATTTCCTATCAGAATTTTTTATTTAATAGAATTAATTAAAAAAGTGAAATTTCTAACTGTTCACCTATATAATAATAAAATTATCTGAATTATTAATTGAAATAAAATTTTAACATTATTAAAAATTATTAATTAACTTGATGATTTATTAATAAAAGGACCTATTTGTTATGCAATTAGAAATTTTAGGAGGCATAATGTAATTTCTAGAACCATAAGGGATAATTTATAATTTAAATAAATCTCAGGAATTATGTTTGTAATTTACCTTTATTTTTATGATTTTGGATGTGATTTACTATTGGAAATTTTTACAAAGCTAGAAAAAATAATTTAAAAAATAGTCAAAAAAATAAATTATATAATATATATTTAAAGTTATTGTATGCTTATAATTAATTTAGTTCACACATAATTTATTTTTAATTAAATTTTTTTTTTAGCAAGACTACTAGTCTACTAGTGCATAATAAACTATAAAATTAATCATATATACAATTTGGGTCATACGTGTGAGATGGTGGTAAAAATAATTTACATATTCTTTATATGATTGATTCTATATTTTGTTGTCTATAAATTATTATTATTATTTTTGGAAAATATTTAAGATTTAACAAAATTCTTACAATTGTACCAACAACGATATTATATCATGTGTATCGATTTTTTTATTTGTTACATATCTAATGATATAAGATTTAACTCCTTTATTATATTATTGTGAATTAATTTATCAGTCTAAAAATGTGATTTTAGCATTATTTTTTTTTTATTTATTTAATTTTTTTTTTTTGTGTCATGCATAGGTGTGAGGGTGGTGTGACACCCAAATTCTGAGATGCTTGAAATTCAAGGTAATAGTGGGAGCGGATGAGGTGGCGCTTTCTGATTGTGATATGGCACGTGTGGGACGCGCTGTCTTCATGAAAAACGTGTAAGGTCAAAATTAAAATAGACCAGCCGTGTCCTGGTGGACTCTGGAGGTTGGCATTGATTTATGATTTCGGATAATTAAAATTCTTGTGATGTTTAGTTATTATTTATTGTTGTGTTATTGTAATATTGGTCGTAATATTATTTGATTATGATTGAAATTTTATTTTTTTTGTTAAATCTTATATGGTATTTGATTATAATTTTTTTTAATTATATGACTTTTATAGGATTTAATTATGAAATTTGTAGTAATTCAACTCACAAATTGCATGCCATAGCATTACACGATTAGAATATCAAGATAATGATCTCTTTCATATCTTTTTTAATTATCAACTAACGCATTTACACATTTATATTCATAAATTCCTCCATAATTATGTGATATAAAAGTTGAGTCTACCATCATTAAATATATAATAAATTAAAATTAATATATATCTTGATTAGTAGAATTATAAAAACTTTTTAAAACTTGCAAACATTTTTCAATATATATATGTGTGTGTGTGAAGATGGAGATGTTAGTCTACCCAATTCTCTCTACATATTTTTCTCTCTATAAAAGTCTCTCTTCTCTTTTTTCCTCCTCTCGTCTCTGCTCTCTGCCTTCTGTGTAGCTTCATTGAGCTGAATTGGGTCGTTGTGAGTTTGTTTGTTCATATATATATATATATATATAGAGAGAGAGAGAGAGAGAGAGAGAGAGTTTTGTAACTGTTTAGAGAAGTAGTGAAGGAAGAAGATGGGGAGACAACCATGCTGTGAGAAAGTAGGGTTGAAGAAGGGGCCATGGACAGCTGAAGAGGACAAGAAGCTCATTAACTTCATCCTCACCAATGGCCAATGCTGCTGGAGATCTCTCCCGAAACTTGCAGGTCTCCCATCCTCATCCCCATCTTACCCATATTCTATTCTATTCTATTACCAACATTTATATATATATAGAGAGAGAGAGAGAGAGAGTTTAGAAATCATTTAATTTCTTGTCTGTCAAAAATATCAGCTTGGGATGAATAGGAGAGAATGAGGACATGGAGGGAACATTCTGTTGCTTCCTTGGACTTGAAAGCTCAAACTGAATGAGACAGCACACATGACATAACTTCGCGCAGTGAAAAAACACCGGACTTTTCGAATCAGCCGCTCATCAGGCTCGAATCAATCCCTAGGATTCCCATCCTTCTCCCTCTCCTGGACAAAAAATGTATATATATATATATAAACTAAATTTTGTATTTTCTTTTTAACTTTTTTCTTAGGGGGGATTGATACTTTATTTTTTATTTAAAAAAAAGGTTGTCTAGGAAAGCTAGCTAGCAAGTTAATTAACAATAATTACAGAAGGCATATCCTAGAAAAGGTGCCTACAAGATAATCTTTAAGGAAAGAGAAAAGTTAGGCATTATAAAAATTTTCTCATGAAAATGATTATGAAAGAGTTATGGTCTTTGAATTATCTTGATTAGTGTGTGACCTTTTATTCTAAGTATAATCTAAGAGTCACAAAACTTTCATAATTATTTTCATGAAAGGTTTTTTATGATACCTAATATTACTGTTAAGAAAAACTTTATAATGATACAGAAGATTTTAGGCTTCTTTAATGCAAAAAGGAGAGAGAAACTAGTTATCTTCTTACTTCTTTTATGTTTTTTTGTTCTTTTTTTGTTTTTTTGCCTTCATTTGAGAGAATAGTTATATATATTGGGGTATGGTTAATTGCAGGATTGTTAAGGTGTGGAAAGAGTTGTAGGCTGAGGTGGACAAACTATCTTAGGCCAGACCTGAAGAGGGGTCTCTTATCAGAATATGAAGAGACGATGGTTATTGATCTCCATGCTCAACTTGGAAACAGGTTTTTATATTAACACACACTCTCTCTCTCTCTCTCTCTACCAATTCCCTTAAAAATATTCTTCTTTTGTCTCCACCTTGTCTTCCCTTTTGCTTCTTCTTCTTCTCTTTCTAATTAATGAATGGCTCAATGTCTGTTGCATTATGTCACTGATTGATAATTCATTAAAGGACTTTCTATTGTATAATTTTCCTTCAAGGAATGCCTCAAATGGCAGACAAAGAGCTACACAAGGAATAAATCCTCTTTGTTTATTTTTTTTTAAGGAAAATATATATATATATATATATATGCACACACAGCTCTCCTCTCTGTCAATGATAAGCAACAGTTTAAAATTACTTTCACTGATTAGTTTTCCAAATAAAGTAAAGGGTAAGTCTGTCCCATAACTTTTTTAAGAAAATTCTTTTCAGGCAACTTGCTCACTGGTTAAAACTCATGTTAAGGTTGTAGGTTGGAAGATACCATGACTACTTTGGGGTAACTTTGTACAATTTATGCCAAAATCAAGTTTTTACCAAATCTATTCCTCTCAACCCCATCCGAAATACACCCCAAAATTTTCTTTGCATATTCATATGAATCATACTCTAATAGTAGGTGTGTCAAGAAATGCTTTTGGTATGTTTGGAAGGACTCTACTTTTTCTTGGACCATTGTAGTGGTGGCCATTAAAAGCTTATAAATTCATTTGATTTTTTTGCAGATGGTCCAAGATTGCTTCTCATCTCCCTGGAAGAACTGATAATGAGATCAAAAACCACTGGAATACCCACATCAAGAAAAAGCTGAGAAAGATGGGGATAGATCCTCTCACCCACAAGCCACTTCCTACTACTCCAACTCATGATCATCAATTCCAACAACAACCACACGATCAACAACAGGAACAATCACTACCAGAGCCAGTGCCATCTCTATCTGAAGTGGGTCAAAACAAGGAAATAGAGACAATATTATTTGAGTCATCCATTACTGACACTGAGGCCAAAGAGGAAGGCCCATTTAACTCTATGGAAGTCAATAATGGCTTTTCCACAGATGAAGTCCCACTGATTGAACCCCATGAAATTAATCTTGTACCTTGTGTTCCCTCAGTCCCACTGATTGAACCCCATGATATTAACCTTGTACCTTGTGTTCCTTCATCATCATCACCATCATCATCATCAACAATAACCTCTTCATCATCATCATCATCATCGTCATCATCATCATCTTCTTCTTCTTCTTCTTCCTCCCACTTTTCTTCATCCAACATATTGGAGGAATTGGAGTTGCCAACTTTTGAATGGGGCATGGGTTTCTGGGATGATGACTTTAGCAATGCTTTGGATTTGTTGATCAGTGGTGCTGATAACTGGAATGCAACTGTTGAACCTCTTCCCCCTCCCACTCCCACCCAGTACCCAACAAGAATGGTTCTTGATCAAGAATCTTAGAGCTCTCACTACAAGAATTTACACATTTTGCGACCACTTTTGCCGACCAAAAAAATTTTTGTCGCAAAAAAATGACATTTGGCGACCAAATTTTAATTAGTCGCAAATGATCATTATTTTTGACGACCAAATATTTTTGGTCGCAGAAGGTTATATTTTGGCGACCAAAAAATATGTTGGTTGCAAAAAGTGGTATACTTTTGGCGACCAAAAAATATGTTGGTTGCAAAAAGTGATATACTTTTGGTCGCAGAAGGTTATATCTTGTGATTTGTAAAATTCTTGTCTTGGGCTTCTTTGTAATTTGCTTGTCAAGGAGCTAGGTAAAAAGTCCAACCATTGTATTTGTTACCCTTTTTTTTTTTTTAAATGTAAATTTGTCCCTTCTCTCTCTTCTCAAAGAATAAATAGACATGAAGAATGGTATTCATATGGGTTATAGCTTTCTATGTACACCAATATTCACGCCTAGTTTGGCATGTAAAGGTTTTAGTTTAAAAATTAAAAAATTATTAAAAAAATTAAAAAACCTATAACATATATCAAAAGTCAAAGATTTTTTTTTCTGTTTATTTTTTGCACATCTTTTTTAAAAAAATTAAAAATTTATTCCAAATATAATAAATTTTTTATCTCATATTTTAACTAAAAAATCAAAAATTACTAAAATAACTTGTTCCCAAACAAGACCTCAGTGTCTCTTTTCTTCTTTTTTCATGCAATCTAATGTAATTATAAGGGGAGTTAGGTTTTGGGGCAAGCAATTAATTGGTGGAAACAAACAGCTAAATGATTTTAGGTGAATTAGTAGAAGTTGGGACCATAAGTAATGTACCAGAACTCGTGTCTCATGTTCGAATCGTCAAGAATTGTTCTTGGTAGGATTGTTAGGGCATGGGGCCAAACAATTCACTTTAGTGGTCAAGTTTGGCTAACCTAAAAAAGTGCACTTATTTCATCTTTTTATCTTTTTTGGGTCACATCAATCAACATCTCCTCTCTACTTTTTCTACACATAATACAAAAAAAGTAAAAAAGTGCACTTATTTAGTCTTCCCAAACTTGGCCTAACCATTGACAAGATTGATGGTTACGAACACAAGTTCAAGTAAAACTAGTATCAATCATCCCCAACATTTTTTGATTTTAAATGAAAAAAGAAAAGAAAAAAGAACTAGGAACACGAGGAGAATTTGTAAAAATGATCTCATCCTTTTGCTACCAATAGTACATTCACCTCCATCATCATTCTGCTTCTTTAGGAAAGCTCAATTAAAACATTAGTTTTCCACAAAGGATTGGAATCCTCAATGGATGTGCTAATGTATGTTGTGTCTTCTGCAAGGCTAAGGTGGAGACAACAAATCATGTGTTACTTTTTTGCGGTTTGTTTGGCTGATCTAGTCTCACATTGTCAAATGGTGGGGGGATGCAATGGGTCTTACCATTGTCTGTGAATAGTCTGCTTCAATGGTAGGTTGGAACTCGGCTGAAAAAGTTGGAGAGGAAGATATGGAATGCCATTTCTTTTGCTGTGCTATGGTCTATTTGGAAATAGGGAAACGATTGTGTATTTAATGGATCTCAACCAAATTTGGAAGAACTTTGTGGGACTATAAAAGTGAGAATTGCCTTGTGTTTAATAATATTTCTCCTTTTTTGCTGATCAAAAGAATTTCGCTTCTTTAGGAAAGGATGGCTACACTACAAGAAAATATGCTTTTGGCGACTAATTTTTTAGTCGCCAAAAGTATTGATTTTAGTCGCCGAAATACTTTGCCAACCAAAAATTTTGATCGCTGGTTTTGTCAGGATACATCGTCGCCGAAGGTATTAGCGACTAAAAAATATTGAGTCGCCAAAAATACTACAAAAATACCGACTAATATTTTAGTAGACAAAAATAACAGGTATTAGTGACGAAAAGAGCCTTAGTTGCTGATAACTGACATTGGCGCCCAAAGGGTAAATTAATTCGTTTAACTCACATCTTTAGCTACTAAATCTTTTGTTGCGAAAACTTAAAATATGTACGGCGACAAAATTATTAGTCGCCAATAGTGCTATTTCAACTATTAAATGTTTTAGTCGCGGAAAAATTGATTCTTGTTTAGCTACTACACAGGTTAGTCGCTTATGATTTTTTTATTATATTTTGGCGACTAAAAATTTAGTCGCCAAAAGTATTTTGAGTTTTAACTACTAAACAGTTAGTCGCCATAACTGTTTTCATTTCGTTTTAGCTACTAAATATTTAGTCGCCAAAAGATTTATTTATTTTTGGCTACCAATTGTTTTGTCACCAAAAACCTCATTTTATATTTTTGTTTTGTTTTTTTCATTTTAATAAATTTTGTCAGAACCTGTATGTTTCCACTGCAACCTGTAATAGGTATACAACCTATATATATTATCACATATTCCGTAATGCATGTTTCACTTACAACCATCAAACAAAAAATAACACCTGCTAATGTAAACTTATATATAAACCAACTATATATATTCCAATTACAAATAATAACGTCATACATTCCAAATGCGTTACCAAAACAATGTCCTCTATACACAACATTTTTACTATACTATACATTGTAATGATCATTTGTCAAGGTACAAATTACCATGGTAATATGTACCACAACAAAAGGTAATCTATATATACCACCAGAGAAATTAATACAAGCTCCAAAAATACTATGTACCCCGCCAAAAATTATATGTACGATGTATTCAAATTCCACACAAAAAGATTACGAAGACAAAAACTTCCCAAATTTGCAAAACTGTGAATTATCTTCCGAGCAAAAAAAATAGAAGATCCACATGTCAATGCCAAAAGCCATCTACACAACAAAAATTACACCCATTAGTTCCATTGTAAACAAAAAGTTATAGCCATCTACAGAAACAGAAATTGCAAGGATGTCAATTGTAATTGAAATTATATTTAAATATAGTTTGAATTTAGGAATTTGAATATAAGTTTCTTTACACTTTAAATTGTATTTAAAGTGTAAAAAATTTCCCAAGTCAGGCATGAGCCTCAAGTCAAGTTTTGTCTAATGTGTAAACATATATATATTTTATTCATAAATGTTCATATATAGAGATGCTTATAGAACATATATATTTGTAAGCTTTAATATATAAGCTTTAATATATTTTTATAACCTTTCTGGCGTTTTTCACGGCAACCCCCAACGTACATGTGCTAATTACGTCCCGTCTATCCCCACAGGTCCTTTTTTATACGAGGAAGCTACCCATGCCATCCTTATCGTGGTTCGGGGGCAGCTTTCAAATTTCGGCCCTCGAAGGCCTTTTTTCGGCTAAGTTTATGGCGTTTTTCACGCAAACTCCCAACGTACACGCGCTAATTACATACCGTCTATCCCCATAGGTCCTATTTGACACAAGGAAGCTACCCGTGCCATCCTTACGGTGGCTCGGGGGCTGCTTTCAATTTTCGGCCCTTGAAGGCCTTTTTTCGGCTAAGTTTATGGCGTTTTTCACGCCAACTCCCAACGTACACGTGCTAATTATGTCATGTCTGTCCCCATAAGTCCTATTTGACACGAGAAAGCTACCCGTGCCATCCTTACAGTACTTCGGGGGCTGCTTTGAAATTCCGACCCTCGAAGGCCTTTTTTCGGCTAAGTTTATAGCGTTTTCCACGGCAACTCCCAACATACACGTGCTAATTATGTCCCATCTATCCCTACAGGTCCTATTTGACATGAGGAAACTACCTGTGCCATCCATACAGTGGTTCGTGGGTTACTTTCAATTTTCGGCCCTCGAAGGCCTTTTTTCGGCTAAGTTTATGGCGTTTTCCACGCCAACTCCCAACGTACACGTGCTAATTACATCTCGTTTGTCCCCACAATTCCTATTTGACATGAGGAAGCTACCTGTGCCATTCCTACAGTGGTTCAGGGGCTGCTTTCAATTTTCGGCCCTCGAAGGCCTTTTTTTGGCTAAGTTTATGGCGTTTTTTACGCCAACTCCCAACGGACACGTGCTTATTACGTCCCGTCTGTCCCCACAAGTGCTATTTGACACGAGAAAGCTACCCATGCCATCCCTACAGTGGTTCGGGGGTTGCTTTCAAATTTCGGCCCTCGAAGGCCTTTTTTCGGCTAAGTTTATGGCGTTTTTCACGCTAACTCCCAACGTACACGTGCTAATCATGTCCCATCTATCCCCACAGGTCCTATTTAACACAAGGAAGCTACCCGTGCCATCCCTACAGTGGTTCGGGGGCTACTTTCAAATTTGGGCCCTCGAAGGCCATTTTTCGGCTAAGTTTATGACGTTTTCCACGCCAACTCCCAACGTACACGTGCTAATTACGTCCCGTCTGTCCCCACAGGTCCTATTTGATATGAGGAAGCTACCTGTGCCATCCCTACAATGGTTCGGGGGATGCTTTCAATTTTCGACCCTCGAAGGCCTTTTTTCGGCTAAGTTTGTGGCGTTTTTCACGCTAACTCCCAACGTACACGTGCTAATTACGTCCCGTCTGTCCCCACAGGTCCGATTTGACATGAGGAAGCTACCTGTGCCATCCCTATAGTGATTCGGGGGCTGCTTTCAATTTTTTGCCCTCGAAGGCCTTTTTTTGGCTAAGTTTATGTACGCAACAGACATACATAAATAATAAACGTCGCATACATTAGTAGTGTAACTACTGCAATTGCTTATAATGTTTGGTAGAGCCTCTGTGTAAAGTAACATAACATTGAAAATAATAACACTAGTAAATTGCATCTACTTTTGCATTCTAATAACCAACCAAATTATTGAACCATCCACATCTCCAAGTAACACAAAATGTTTTAGTAGATCAGTTTCCTCAATAATGACACAACATGTCACCAAATTTGCAAAACTGTGAATTATCTTCGGGAAAAAAAATAGAAGATCCACATGTCAATGCCAAAAGCCATCTACACAACAAAAATTACACCCATTAGTTCCATTGTAAACAAAAAGTTATAG